CCCCAAAACCCCAAAACCCCGTAAGTAAAGACTAATAGGAGAATATGAAAATTATGAAATCAAATTAAAATTAGCATTATTAACTTAGATTTTCATCTACTTAAGATTCTTATCTTCTACTATCTTTATTCCCTCTTTTGTACACTTTCTCTGTTAGCCTATACAAATTATTAGTTTAAAAGATACTTACCTATGTATGTCTTAATTATCTAAAGAATTCAATCTCATATGTAGTCTCTCCAAATAGCATGTATATTAAGTTCTTGATGTTAACTTGGCTTTTAGATATATAGGAATTTTCATTAATACAGTCCTTGACTATCCTTCCTATCTCTCTTTGCTTCATCTCCTTGATTTCCTCATTAAGCTTTCCTAGCTTATCTTCAAATTCTTTTACTTTCACATTAGCATTTTATAATTCATACATGTCACTTTCACTTAATTATCTATCTCCTGGGCTGCTGTTCGTAACTACATTCTATAGTTTAAGGAAAAGCTTTTAGTCAAAGGCTGACTACTTTTCCTCTAATGACTCATTTTTTTCATGTCTATTACCCCAAAAGATTCCATCGCTTTCATATGATTGACTTATGTTATGCTACGGTGACTTCGGTGAAATTATTCTTTCAAGATCTATTTTTCTATTTTCAACTTTCCCCCCGCACCAGAGGTTGTTAAGTATCTAGTTTTTCTATCTTATTATCTCTTGAAATTTAGACTAAGTCTTTCTATTCTCAGCTGATCCTTACTTACTCTCGTTCTCAAGTATCATTTTCAATTGCAGCTTATATTTCTGATACTCAGTCTTAATCTATGCCATCTCATAGTCCTTAGTTGCGATCTCTAATATAAAGTCCTTCGATCTTTCATCAAGTATTTCTGGTAATTACAATTTATCAATCTTATATTCCAAGTCCCAGAGTGTTTCTATTATCCAAATAAGGCCCTTACCTCTTATGTCATTTCCTTGTTTAAGTAACTTGCTATAGTATTCTATCTATATATTTCTTATAAAGGCCAACTCTGTCTTAACTATGGACATTTCCTCCTCGATATAGTAAATCTTTTCACAATTAATCTCCTTCAGCTCATTAAGTCTCTTATCTAGGTTTAGCTTATCTACCCTCATCTAGTTTACTCTATCTTTTTCCATCTATTAATAAGAATTAGATTTCTATTTATGCTTACATTCATTTTCATAAAGTCACCCAGAGATAATTTATTTTTGCTCTGAAGTTTTTTTTCTAAAATGCCTTTGCTCTCCTTTATCCTTCTTTGGAAGTTACGCTCCTCTTTCTAAATTGTATTTAATTAATGATTTTATTTACCTTCATTTCTTCTTTATTTTTAGCCATCTTAATGTAAATCTCATTGTTACTAAAGAGTAAAGTCCTTCTTTTATCTTTGATTTCTTGTAGCTGGCTCTAGAGTCTTCTAGTTTCATTCCAAATCTCCTTTTCAATCCTCTTGCGCTCGTGGACATCATCAGTTTCTAATATCTTAGTGCACTCTTGGGCTTTCTTCGATATATCAGTCTCAGATAAATACTAATTGCCACCATTGGCTGATTAAGTGTTAGTGCTGGGAGTAGCATTACCAGCTTTATTATTCCTGAGTTTCCTTCTCAGCAGAAATGGCTATGTTTAAGATTTAAATGTCTCATTCGCAGACTCTTTAGTTGATAGATCAAACACCTTCTTTTAAATCTCCTTTTTCTTGGGTTTTCTAATTAGCATCAAATTTCCTTCATCATCAAATTGATATTTCTATTCCTCTTGCTTAGGATTACTACCCATTCCACCATAGAAGAAATTATCATCATCAATCTCACCCTCATAGTGATTAGAAAATAGATTAGGTTAGGACTAATGAAACTTGCTAAGAGTAAGTGCAGTGTTACGTTTGAACTCTTTTATCTTCAATTTTTCTCTGAGAAAGTTATAGTTGTTCCCATTCTCTGGGTCATGTTTAATCAAGTTAATATTTGCATTATTTAATCTAGGAGAATGATTTTGCTTTTTGCAAACGCTTGAACGAATTTTAATCTGGAGATTAACAGCGTACGAGTCTATAGTTGAGTAGGAGTTGATAGACTTTTTTTCCATTTTTAAAGTTCACAGCTGATCAATCAATTTACAAACTGTTTAATTTTATAGATTATGTTTTATTGTATTTTAGCTTCTATTTTATTTCTCAATTACTATCTATGATTAATTAGAGGGGTTTTGGGGTTTTGGGGTTTTGGGG